AGCAGTCATAATAATATTGTCAATATAACTAATGACCAATAATAATTAGAATAATGCTTTTGATTGCAGTATTGCAACAACAGAGAGCAAGACACGGGAGTCGGTGTATATTCTTCATTAATCAAAACTCTGTCGTTCATAAATCTACAGTTTATATTCGTAAACCAACCAATTCGTTAACTGACTGAGGAGCGTGTGATTTCGGTTCACATCATACAACACGAAATAGAACGTTCAAATATATTATATATATATATACATATACACAGTATTCTGTTTTTTTTCTTATGCAGTGTTGAATTGTGGGAATAACCTTCTCACTCTACTCTACTCTACCCTACTCTAACATCATCACATAGAATGTTCAAATGGATAGATATATGGTATTGTGTTTTTGTTGTTCCGATCTGAACTGTGAGAAGATATGAGAATAATAACATTGCGTTGGCACACATTGTCGTCTGTATCACACCACCATCATCACCACAACGACCACCACCACAATATGTGTCAGTATGAGTCAATTTCCTGATGGATGGAATTCAAAGAAGTGAAGTAGTCCAGTGTATGTAATATTTTAATGACAAGCAGGATAATTTTAGCAACAACAATAATAATGACTGACGATACAAATGAAATGAGATAAGTAAGTGAGGCCACTGTCAATAATAGTGATGAAGAAGAAAGAAATGACAGTACATAGAATTTTATTGGTGGATGGTGACTACCAGTGGAATCCAGGATAAGGCGCATTTCGTCGTATTTGGGAGTCGTCCGCCAGCTGGATGTACCTGCATACCCCAGTGATTGATTGAACATGTTCCCACAGCGGCTCGAACCCAGTGCTCATGGTTTCATACGACAAAGCGTTATCCACTAGACCACTCGAGCCACGAGAGCTGGCCACCTCTTGTGAGACGGGAAAATATAAAATTCAATTGGAAAATAACACTACGATTATAAAAATGATTAGAAGGACAAAATGGAAAATAATTTTGACGGCTATTAGTATCATGATTATCATAATGATGAAGTAAGTTACCTAAGTATAGCGAGCAGGCGAGCGAGCGAGCGCGCGAGCATTGCTTGCTTGCTTGCCTGCATTGTAAACATCATCACGTTGGTTCTTGTCACCACCACCATCATCAACATCATCTTCATCCTCATCATCATGACCTAACATCCGATGAGCCGCCAATCTTACAATTCACCAGCTCTCCTAGAATCTTTCCGACTACATGCCATACCTACACAGTCATCACATCATGTCACACCACATCACATCACATCACATCTCGTCACACTTCGTCATATCACCTCACTCGATTCATTAGCAAATATAAATTTCCAACTACATTCATATCGGTCGATTCGAAGTAGTCAAGACGAGCAGAAATACATGACGATGCATCAAACAAATAACTAACTGATCAACTCACTTACTCACTGACTAACTATTTTACTAACTGGGCAGTTGATGAGAACACTGAATAAATAAGTGACTGAATAACTAACTTACTTTGTAAATAAATCGCTGACCAACTAACTGTCTGACTGAATATCTGACTGACTAAATAACCCAATAAATATCTGACCAACTGAATAACCAATCTACTCACTTACTTACTAACTACTAACTATAACTAACTAACTAACTAAATAAATAAATAAACAACTAACCAACTAATTAATTAAGTGAATAATTTAAGTGTAGAACTTGGCCACTCTGGTACAGTGCAATTCCATATAAGATTATTTCATTTTATTTTGTTTTATTTTATTAATCACACAATGATTTCGTAGTATTAGGAACACAAATGCAGTTGATAAAACTGCATCACTGTATGATTGCTAAAATAAACCTATTTATTATGGAATAACAAAACAAACCAATAAACCAACCAACCAACCAACCATCCTATCCATCTACCTACCTACCTACCTACCAACTAACTAACTGACTAACTAATCAAACAACCGACTCACATTTGATCTCACCAAGTCATCAACGAACGAATCATCGGACCAAGGAAGGAAAGAAGGAGGGAGAGAATAAGTAGTTGTAGGAGAAGAAGAAGAAGAAGAAGAAGCCAACATTCAGTCGAACTGATTCACTGACAGACTGAGTCCCGAATACGAAAATGATTTATCCTCATCACAGAGTGAATGTGTGAATAAGGAAGAGTCAATCCACGCACAAAACAGCACAGTCAACAAACTAAACAAACAACTGGCCAACTAACCAACCGAGAATCAAGCAATCAAGCAACCAGCCAGTCAGTCGATCAATAAATCGAACAATCAACCAACCTATCAACCAATCAATCAATCATTCAATCAATCAATCAATCAGTGAAGCCATCATGAGTCAGTCGAATGAGTGGGAAGAGCGAATAAGTGAATGAAACTCACATTCCTCGTGTTCATTGATTATATCGGTTGGTTGGTAGGTAGGGTAGGTCACTCACCTGTGTTTGAGTGTGACCACGTGTTCGCTTGCTTCACAGGTGAACTTCGAGTATAAATAGGAAGGTGGGAGTAAGTTTCAAGTAGTAGTTTCAAGTTGACAGTAAACCACAACAACAACAACAACAACAATGCAGATGTTCACTGTATGTCCGAATACTCTTGTCTAATATTGTATGCCTCCATGATGGTGATTTCTTTCATTTCAGCTCGTCTTAGTTGTACTGGTTGTATCATTTGAATGTGAAATGGGAGGTAAGTCATCCTCATCTCTTTTTCGTCTCCACATATCAGATAGTCGATCAGACAAATCACCTGCTCACCCCAACCATCCATGCATGCATACATTCAAACCCTCTTCTAATGCAGAGATTTGTCGATTATTGCTAATAACACCAACACCAACACCACGACCACCACTATTACTAAGACTAATAATGCTACCACCACCACCACTACTACTAACACTGATATCTATCAGTACTAATATGACAATGCTACCGCGACAACAACATGGACGAATTCCATTGTGAATGCTTCTCATACAACTGGTGCTAATTTCACTCACTCACTCACTCACTATTGCAATTGTTATCAATATTGGTGATAAATTTTTGTATAACGACAACGACTAGATAGATAGATAGATGATTGGGAGACAGAAAGTGAATTTGATTGCACCTATCTAACCAACTAACTAATTACCTTCCTTCCTACCTTTTACCTTCCTAGCTGCCTGCCTACCTACCTACGTACCTACCTACCTACCTTCGAACTAACTAACTGACTAACTAATCAAACAACCGACTCACATTTGATATCACCAAGTCATGAACGAACGAATCATCGTACCACGGAACCGTGCTCTTTTAATTGAATTTTTCAAACCTGTTGGAAGATAACCACACCATATCAGGCAACATGTGAATATGAGTTATTTTGAATCGCCATTGCCTGGGATAGCCAATTTTTTGTTTCAATGCTCTGCCTGATTATAATGCGTGGCATATAGTAACGAAAATTAATATTCATGCTCATATCATTGAACTAAGAAGATGAAGAATAATGATTCATTTACACTCTACAGCCTGACTGACTGCTAATGACTGACATAAGTCCCATTTAATTAGTATCTAAGTGATTATTTCCGCAAATTATTGCAATTATTGTTTGTATACTTTACAAAGTTCACTATAATGTATTAAAGGGAGTCAACACTTACGCTGAGTATCTCTATTTTTCGTACATTAAGTCATGCTCACTATCAGCCAAACATCGCCGCGTCACTGTGAACTACATTTCTCTACCTAATTGTTACCTCGGCTGCAACATCATTGATCACAAATATATACGTACACACATTCGATGAACATTTGAACTTCAGACCTTCATTAACAGTTGTCTTCGCTCAATACTACTCAAGATCAGATGGCCGGCCAGAAAAGATCAGCAACAGGGATCTCTGGCAGTGAGCGAACCAGCCAGGAACCGATTGCGAAATAAATAGGCAGGAAGAAATGGAGGTGGATTGGATTGGCCATACTCTGAGGAAACCATCAGGTGACATCACACGTCAGGCCATCGCTCGAGTGAAACCCGAGAGGGAAGCGGCGAGTTGGTCGTCCAAGGGTGAGGGTGACTTGGAGGAGGTCATGTGAGGAGGAGATGAAAGCATGTGGGCAGACTTGGAGCGGAGTGAAAAAGTTGGCGGAAAACAGAAGGCAATGGAGACGCGCAGCTGAAGCCCTTTATACCTCTAGTAATTAAATGATACAATAATAATAATTTGATGCATTTTATGTGGTAACCTGTAACTTCTTGAGTTGAAGTGCTTGTTTGAAATCATCAGTGTGATTGTAGAATGAAATGTAAGGTAAGGTAACAATGTAAGGTAATACTCATGAATCTGTACACAACCACACAGACGTGACACAAAACGCTATATGAGACATCGAGTTTCAAAGGTACATCAATAATAACGGATTATACCTATATCAGATTTGTTACAACTAGCTGATATTGCAATCACAAAATGCAAACAAAGTCAACGGATATAGTTAACGATAAAATTTCAAACAATTCAGAAAGTATTTTCAAAGATCAATATGATCGTAGATTCAAAGTTCGCTGATAACTAATGCATCCTACGCATTCAGCGTATAATAATTAAAACTGAAATACTCACACACAAATCAACACAGACCTTAAATGTCAGTTCATTGATATGAAATCATAATTGATGATATACATACTAAGCACGGATCCACAGAACATCCTGAACATACATATGAGGATTCACAAAACGACTGTTCTCCTGAAGAACTTCAAGAAAGCAAATAAAAATAGAAATTTCATTGGGTGAAGACATTTTAGTAAATAAAAAATTGGATGGGTGAATTGTTTTCTATTCAATCGTTAAAGCACACAAAATACTGCATAAGTTATCAGAAATTATGAATTATCTTCACATTGTTGCAGTCTACTTTGTCAAATTCTCACCACATACTTCTCTCATTTGAGCATGTCTGCGAAAATTACTGTGATCTAAAAAAACAAAAGAATAGTATAAAAACGCTGTTTTGTTAATTTTCATCTGATTAACATGTGATTGTAATACTTTAAAAAAATAATGTGTTAAATATGAAATATGTTATAAAATTAGCAGGCATATTGTTTATCTGATTATTTCGAAAGGAATTTAGGGAATGAAATTAGTCTGAACTCACTAAAGACGCAGCAGTATTGAAAAAGCCAGCAGATATTACTGTGCAGATGTTCTGAAAAATAAAAATTTTACCTAATGAAAAGATCGAATTCTAAGTGCGAAAAGAATGAAAGGCAACTGCAGAGACGAGAATTCCTGCATGTTCTAAATCACATTTTAAGTCGCTATTAGTGGGTTATAATATTCAACACTGCGAAAGAATTAATAAATCACTATTATAGGTGCAGTTGAGTGATACTGCATCCAACGTATTCAGACTGTACTGCTCTTAAAACGGCACGCTGATGTTAGCATTATCAATTTCAAATGGCGTTAAGTGACACATCCGAAACGTTAAGACTCCTGAGAGAGTCGGCATCATTTAAATTTGATTTCCCGAAACGCATGGTTAAATTGACGAACACAAGTCGAAGTTTTCACTGATGAAATATTATAAATATTGATTTTGTATTAGAAATGAGCAGAAATGTCGACAATCTGTTATTCCTATCAGAAAATCAGAGATAGACCGAACTTAACAAAGATTCATTAGTTTTGAATGTTCTGTCCGATTGTGTTGTACAGACGTTCTAAAAAATAAATTAGTATTTATAAAACAATGGAAAAGCATGAAAGGAAATTTAAGTGAATTGGGTTCTATGAAATCCTGTATATACCCAACGTGACCTGTATTTAGCGTTAAAACTCAATAGTGGTAAGAAAATGTTAACCAGAATGCTTGTATGTTCAGATTGTACGAGGGACACTCATCACAAGTGTAGAGAGTTTAAGCATGATTCTGTTGAGGTGAGATGAACTTGTAGGGACCAGTAAACTTGATAGTATTTACATCTGGATATTCATGTACCGACGGTTCTATGGTGATATTGAAGAATTGACTGCGATACACTATGATCAACAATACAATAATAATTTGCTTCATTCCCACACATTGATTATTATGCAGCATGGAATACTCAATATTTTTTACCGTATTCCTTGAAATTTACTCAAAAAACATGATATGGTGAAGGTATTCAAAACTGATAATTGGATCTTTCTTGCTTTTACTAGTATCATTAAATTCAAAATGCGCTAAGTATAAAATAAAAATTTTTACTGAAATTATAAAATCGTATATATTAGAAGGTGAAAGAGACGTTTATTTTGCTAATTACGCAGTTATTCATAAGTTTCACACTTGACACTGCTTATTTCACGTTACGTTCTGGCCAAATAGGATATCGCCAAGCTTTTGCACTTGTTTAAACGAGCATGTAATCTTCATTGATGCCTTCTAGTCCTGCCTGATGAGGTTCAAAGGTTTAGCTGAGAAGAATTACGGTGTTTACAGACGGATATTATGAATTCAGATCATCACATAAAAGGGTTCAGTTGTTTGTCAAATACAGTGGTGGCGACCTGACTTGTAGGCACACCTCATGCCACATTGTTACTCTTATCATTGTACCTTTGAGTTCTAGTAGAACAAAGGACCCAATATTTGTGGTCCTCCTAGGCTGGGATCACGATTGGCCATAGTCCCTCATCTCCTCCTTTCACGATCTCCTCCATTTCACCTTTCCGATAATTTACTTGACGTGTGATTTCACTCGATGGTTTCCTCAGCGTTTGCTGAGTACATCTCAATTTTCCAGGTCATACTCGATGAGCAATAGTTTCTTGATGCTTTTTTCTCTTGCCGCCAAGGCTTTCTGGCCATTCCATTCTCAGTATGGAAACAGTAAAGGCAGCCGCAGACTGAAGTTTGCTGCTGGCTGTTGTATTTTTGGTCATCCTTTCTCGTTTGTGTGAATCCCTTCTCGTATAGAGACCCAGGAACTAGCTGATATAATATTCTAAGGACTCTCTTACGTGTGAATACTTCTGCTTCACTTGACAATGTGCTGTAGGATTGACTTTTGTCTTTACTAGCACTTTTCTTCACTTGCTCATTCAGTGCAGCGTACACTGAAATTAGTTCCCCTTTATGCTGTCCATCTTTGCAGTGAGTTATCTTCTCTTTCAACGTACCTCTCTCCTCAATTAGCTTCTAAGTATGCGTTGAGAGGCATTCCTTGTATTGTCTTTTCCTTCTAGCTAAAACAGTTGTACACGTTTCCTAGAACACCACCTTCAGAGAGTTAGTTCCATTGTTCTTCCATGCAGGTTTCCTCAGTGAGAGTGCGCCGGATCTCCAACTTTGCTCTGTTCTGTGGTAGAAGTATTCCTTATAGTTTTGTGCTACAGTTTCTGAATGTTGATTCTGAATGAATTACATCAACCTGTCTTCAGTTGTTCTCAAGGATTTCAGCTCCATCTGAAAGGTTTTTAGAACAAGATGATTATCTGAGCCCACATTCACCTCTGATCTCAACTTTGTGTCAAACAGGAGGCATCTCCACTTCTTTGAGCAGAATTGATATAAACTCGTCCAGGTTATCAGAATTGATCATTAGCTATCCAGTTCATAACTAGGAGAATCTACTTCTATTTTATCACCTCTCATAAAATGGTAACACTTTTGCCACCATGTCTTGTTATTTTTCCTGCTATCCGAGGAGCGTTGATAAACTCGATACGTTGTCGACATTCTATGTTTGCAGGCTCCATTTCACACTGAGAGAAGTCACGTTGGGCAACATAATTTCGATAGTTTTCACTTTATTGTTTCATGTGTCTTCAAAATACAAACAGTCTTCCTTATTTCAACTGGTCAATAATTTCATTGTTCCTGTGCTTTGAAATTTCATTATCGATCGGATTTTCTGATGATTGTGTTGCCAGTTCGATGCTGTCCCAGGCTTTTTTGGTTTTCACCTAGTAAACCGGGCGTGACTGATTTTGCAACTTTAGTAATCCACTATTAGTTGCTGGTTTACTGTGTGTGAAAGCCTGCTGTAATCCATAATAACATTATGCACAAGAATGGTCGATTCTTTTCTCAGACTAACGGGTCACTAGCGCAGAAGGCTTGGCCTCAATTTGTTGGAAAGTGTGCTTTGGTACACTTATCCATATTAATAACAAATGTATTTTTATCACCGATGACTAATTCAACTCCGTGCACAGCGTTTGTCGCCGGCTGATTTCTCAGCGCGTTCCTTCTTGAACACTTCAAACATACTAACTGGTTCACAATAAGTCCTATTTCAGTTCTAAGAGCTTGTATGTCATGCTCTTTATATGTTACAATGCACTGCTGGTGATTATTTATCGTGTCGATTCGCATAATTTGTAAAACGCTGTTTTCAAAACGAAAGCTGTAAACTGATAGTGCTTGCTTCGTTTATTCCACATTCCTTTCGACGCGCAACAAAAACATTGTGGAATGACTATCAAGTGAAGTGCCAGATGTTTAGAATTTTAGCATCACTTGATTTTGCGTTTGTTTACAACAAAATTTCACCTGAAATGGCGACACTGCACACTAAGTCAAAACATCTCTTTCTGAAAGACCACAAATAAATAAAGTATTTGTGATGCGAAAGGAATGGAAGCAAGCCAGTTTGCTATGCATAGACTCAGAATTCATTGTCAATTCGTCAAGATTTGAATGGAGTGTATTTCTTATTCGTTATAATCAAGCCTTTATACCACGGTTCAAATCTGATGACAAGAAGTCCATTGGAAAATTTCTCGTTGTCTTTAGAAATTGTAGGTTTACAATTTTAGCATTTCTGTTTGTGCATATTTCAGAAAAATGTGACTTATATCCCCTCGCATAATAGGTGTGTATCCACTCTGTAATATAGTAAATAATATTCAGGAAAAAACTGCGACCATCCACAAAGATTAGAAACCTCAGATTCCTGGTAATGTGCGCAATAAATAATGTGGAAATTACAAGGAGAGACAAATTCGTTTTTCAATGAATAACCTTCGCTTTGTCTTCGGAAGTGATAGAGCTTACTTTAGTGGATGCTAACTGGTAAATAATCTCAAACTAGGACCAAAATGCTGTCCAGTATTGCCTGGTTTTCCAATGGTTCTCCAACTGAATTCACATCGTGATCAGACATGTAGCTAGACGGACGCCTGCAGACCAACACTTGATAACTAATCCGATGCTAATTGGGAACTATCTCTATTCGGGAAGTCACCATTAGTTGTAATGAGGAGTCGTCACAAATGGACGTCACCAATTCAGATAAAAGAACAGTAACGTGTCTGTCAGTTGATTAATATATATCGAATCATCTGAATTCGGAATTCATGGGCAGTGGACTCAAGCTCCAGTCTCAAAAATAGTTTCGTTCTGTTGTCCGAAGGTTCCAGGTTAGCACTGAGGTATATGCTTGGTACTCAAGAGTGCTCACCTGTTAGGATATTGCTGTTCAGTACTCTCCGGTATTTCATTGGTCCTCCACCTGGTGTTAACCCGTTACCGATCCTGCAACCGAGGAAATCCTTGCAAACAAACACTTGATAAATATCTTTCATCATTTCAAGTCGTTTACTTATTTTCGACAAACGTTACCGGGATTTATAAATAAGGGATACTGTAATCAGAGGAAGTGACACTGTATGTTTATCAGTATGGAATCCTTCACTTTGCGACTACTCACTCCAATTACAGTCTTCACCCAGGTAACTGTTTACTGAAAATTCTAGGATTTGCTTTGACATAAATTTATGAAGAGTTTTAATGCAGACGACTCGCTAACATGCTCCACTGTTGACTGTACAACAGAGAAACCTAATATCGTTTGCTCGAAATCAGAGTTCGTCTGATGCTCAAACTCTGCACATTCATCTTTCGTACGGTGCTTGAATACAAGAGGATTTATGTTGAAAATACCCAGTGGAGTGGGATACGACACCTACTACGCAGTTATTA